ATATATATAATAAACACAAAAACCATTATACCAGCCTAGGATGAGCAAGGCCCTCAGTTTCATCCCTAGCACCACCAAAGAACAAAACAAAACAGACTCCTGAAGAAATAAACAAGTGAAATAAAAAGAGATTTTTGTTCCTACATGAAACAAGCAATCTTGTGAGTTTAAATATAATCTCTAAATCAGACTTTAATTTCTCCTGGTCCTCAACGAGTCTGTATTCCTGTATTCTTTGGGGTCTGGGTACTGTCCCGAGTACTGGGATATCAGAGAGAAAGGAGAGAAAGCCAGGATAACAATCATTTTTCTCCCACCCTGGTCATGTTATAAAGACAAATACCACACCATCTCAGGGTGTGTTTCTGAATCTCTGAAATGAGAACAGCTGTGTGATGTCTAGTTCCTTTCTAGGTCCACACGTAATGACTCTGTGAAACTAGCTGAATTTCCTAGTACTGATTTTGTTATTTTTGTTTTTGTTTTGTGTGTGTGTGTGTGCTACTGAGGATTGAACCTGGGGCCTTTGCACTGAGCTGCATCCCCAGCCCTTTATTTTTATTTTGAGACAGGGCCTCACAAAGTTGCTAAATTGCACAGGCTTGGCTTGAACTTGTGATCCTTCTGCCTCAGCCTCCCATCATGCTGGGATTTCAGGCCCATGCCACCCTGTGTAGTGCAGTTCTGCTTTGTGTATCCACTGAGAGCCACAACATTCTTTCCCGGCCCCAGAGAGTGAAAGCGCAGTTGGGATGCTCACTCTGTGGCCCCTGGGCTTCCCGTGTGGAAGGGATCACCATGGCACCTTTCACTTTCTGATTGGAATGGTTCGTTATGTTCCAACAGCCTAGAGGATACCTCTCTAAAACATTGCAGCCAGGCGCGGTGGCACATCCCAGCGCTAGAGAGGCAAGGCAGGAGGATCAGCATGAGTTCAAGGGCAGTCTGGGCTGCCATGAGGAGATCCTGTCTCAAAAAAACAAACAAAATCATACTGTCTTCTTGACTTCCCTCTAAGGCTGTATGTAGCTGAAACTACTGCGGGGAAAAAGGCCCCACAGACTGAGCCACCAGGCCTTGCCAAAGGGGGAGGTTGAGACATTCACAATGTGCGAAGGTGGAAGATGAGGTCCTGGCTACCGCTGACCTCACTGACCTGCATGAGGCTCATTCTGAGACTCTTCTGCCTCCCTCTCTGCAGCTGGAAAGGTCTTTCAAATTCACGAGGGAGGCTGAGGACCAGCTGAAGGCCATTCCGCAGTTCTGTTTCCCTGATGCCAAGGACTGGGTGCCTGTCCCACAGTTCACCAGGTACGCGCCAGCCTCCCCACGCTCCCAGCGACTGAGGTGAGAACAGAGCAGCCACAGAGGGCCGACCCACCCAGAAGTCAGCCCTGCCATAGCAATCCCACTGGGTCCGGGCCTAGGCACTTCCCCCTGCAGCCTTGGTAAAACTTCCTGAAGCCGAATTGGGAGGGGGAGGCAGGATGGTCGCAAATTCAAGCCCAGCCTGGGCAACTTAACAGTTTATTTAGTGAGACCCTTCCTCATAATAAAACAACAAGAACAAAAGGGCTGGAGATGCAGCTTAGTGTGAAGGCCCTGGATTCAGTCCCTAGCACTGTAGAACAAAGCAGAGGCCCCTGAGAGGAGAGGCACATCACTGAGTGAGCACATGGGTTTCCTGGGTGCCTACCACATCCCGTGAGCCTCGAGAAGACGATGCTAGGCAGAGAGGCGTTGCCATCGCCGTCCTAACCTGGTACTGCCAAAATGTTTCGTTGCCTCCACACTGGTGCCAGGCTGGGCTCAGTCTCCACCTGGGCTTTCAAGTATCACCAGCTGCCAGCACCCTGCTGTCCTGTGTGTATGGCTGAGCCCTGCAGGCTGTGCAGCCTGGTGTCGGGCACTGTGTCCGTGCAGGGGGTGACGTCTGTGTCCTTAGCCATGAGGATAAAGCTCCTCTGTATTCTGTGCAGTAGGTTTTCCAGGTCACAGCATAATGGGGTGGAAGCCTCGTTCCTTCTCAGGACACTGGCATCTGAGCCCCATGCCTCCCTGGTGCTTCCTCGAAGCTGTCCTGAGCACTCAGCAGAGGGCTGGGCAGCGGACCAGTCCCTGAGCCTCACCGCCACCATGCTGAGGCGCCTTGTGAACAGCTTGCCTGTAATGCTTTTGTCCTCCCATCCGCAGTGAGACGTTCTCATTTGTCCTCACCGGAGAAGATGGGAGCAGGCGGTTCGGGTACTGCCGAAGGCTGCTGGTCAGTATGGCTGCTGGGCGACCACAGTCCGTCTTCGGGTCCCTTGAGACTCCAGTTTTACCATGTGAGAAGGAGCAGGAGGTGTGGAGGGTTAACCAGGGGCATTAAAAACACAGGGAAAAAGTCGAATGTGGTGACACATGTACACCTGTAATCCCGGCACTCTGGGATACTGAGGCAAGAAGATTGCAGGTTTGAGCCCAGTCAGGGCTACATAGTGACTTAGCAAGACCCTATTTCTGGAACAAAAATGAAAAAAAAACAAACAAAAAAGTAAAAGGCTTGGGGATGTAGCTCAGTGTGAAGGCCCTGAGTTCAGCCTCTGATCCCACAAAGAATACATAAATAAAATAAGAACCACATATACAGAGAGGTTGGGGACACATCTGCATTTTATTGGTACGCAAAAGTAATTCTGTTTCCATCAGAAAGAAAATATTTTCCATATTGTTTTCCCACCAAATTAAACACCTGTCTATCCTTAAGATAAATGTTCTTCCTAATCCAACCCCTGGCCTGGATTCCTTAGTGAAAACATTTAGAAGGGCTGCTCAGGAGACAGACACAGGCCACTCCAGTGTTGCCTTTGGAGCTGTCACCTGCCACAGTCAGGAAATGATTCTGAGGAAAAGATCGCGCTGCAGCATTTTAGGGCCTGGCTTTTTGAGGCCCATTCTTTTGAAAATGTTTAGTAATCAAAGTCTCTTTCCACTCAGTTTGAGCCTTAGAAACAGGCTGAAAAATTTTAAGAGTCAAGTAATGCCTGTCACAGTAGGCGCTCAGTAAATATCTGATGAATTAAATATCAGGTAAAAAGCATGACTAATGATTGAAAAGTTAAGCAGGCTGATAAATTGTGTCATTCAAATTACATTAGGCTTGGGCCGGGAATTAACTCAGTGGTTTCCACTGCCTGCCTTTGCCAAGTACAAGGTCCGGAGTTCGAGCCCCAGTACAAAAAAAAAAAGGTACTGAGGTTGATTTCCCTTTTGGTTTGAAAATGAGTTTAAAAGTCATTTTCCAAAAAGATCTTCAGCAATAACTTCTCATTTGGAATTGTCATTCTAAAGGTGTCAGAATAACTCCTTAGGAGGAGCTACACCCTGCAGGTGTGACCCGGCCTCCTTAGAGGACCATATGCCCTGTGCCCTGCACCCTAGAAGGGCCCCTGTAGAGAAGGGAAATGTAGGCACAGAGTCACCAGAGGTGCTGCCTGGCAGCAGCCCAAGCTTCACAGGTTTTTAAAAGCTACCAACACTCAGGAGACAGGATAATTGCTGTGAGTTTGAGGCCAATCTGGGCTAAATAACAAGGCCAGCCTGAACTACATAGTGAGACCTTGTCTCAAAACAACAACAACAAACTATGATATGTGGAAACAGCATGCAGTAGACCCCAAAAGCATTTGGGTCTCTGCCTCCTGGTGGCTGTTCATGCTCATGAGGGCCTATGTTTCTCTCCAGCCGGGAGGCAAAGGGAAGCGCCTGCCTGAGGTGTACTGCATTGTGAGCCGCCTGGGCTGCTTCAGCCTCTTCTCAAAGGTGAGAATTTGGACCCCCGAGAAAGCAAGGGAAGCTAGGTGTGGTGCACCTGCCGTCCCACACTCTGGGAAAGCTGAGGCAGGAAGATTGCGAGTTACTTAGCAACTTAGCCACACTCTGTCTCAGAAAGAAAAAAAAGTATGAAAAGGGCTGGGGATGTAGTGTAGTGCAAAGGCCCTAGTTCAATCCCCAGTACTAAAAAAGGAGAGAGTTAGGTCAAGAGGAGAGGAGGAAGAAGGGGCTAGACCCCAGAGGACGCCAGAACATGCGAATCTCCCAGTACTTCCCAGTCTTGTTCTCTGCCTGTTTGTCTCCATCCCCTTCCCTGTCTTCCTTGCCCTCCAGGAGAAAGTCAGAATGGAGGAGGGCAGGCCGCAGGAAGGAGAGAAGAGGGCAGGGAAATGGAGTTGAGGGAAGGAGGGGTGGATCCTCCCAGAATATTCCGGGGGTTAGTTTCTTGCCTTTAGCATTGTCTTGTGTCGTATTAGTTTCTGCTAGAAAAAAAGACACCTGCAATTGATGTATATATGTATATTTCGGTGTGTAAGCTTATTAAAATATTAATATTATTTGAGCCTCTTTCCTGGAAAAAGTGTATGGAGACATAGAAATCACCACACTGAAGCAGCTCAGACACCCCAGTGTTCTGGATTGGTTCTTAGGACACAAGTGCTGTCCTATGTGATCCTGATCTCAGAAGTTAGATGTTAGCATTATGTAAGCCTAAAATGTGCCAATAAATGTTTTGCTATTAAAAAAAGAAGTTAGAGGCCGGGCGTGGTGGCACACACCTGTAATCCCAGCACTCGGAAGGCTGAGGCAGGAGGATCACTGTGAGTTCGAGACCAGCCTGGGCTACATAGTGAATTCCAGGTCAGTCTCAACTACATAGTGAGACCCTGTCTCAAAAAAAAAACAAAAAATGAAATTAGGCATAGAAGCTGGGCATGGTGGGGCAAGCCTGAGATCCCAGCACTTGGGAAGTAGAGGCAGGAGGATCACAAGTTCAAGGCCGACATGAACTACAAACCCTGTCTCAAAAAAAAAAAAAAAAAAGAAATTAGGCATAGAATACTTGACTGGGCTATGTGAGACCCTGAATTACATCCCAGGTCCTGAGCAAACAAAACAGGAGTTAGCCCAGTCAGTTACATGTCAAACCCAAGGTCAAAAGGGCAAGACCGCCCTGTCCCCTACCAGCAACAGGAGCTACAGAGTCATGCGGACATGTGGAGGGAGAAGAATTGGGGCAATAACTCAGAGAGCCCAAGAGCCTGGGCCCAGCTCTGAGCCACACACACCCTGCGTCCTCCAGAAATGCACTGCCCCCTGGGGCCCAGCCACAGCCTGGCTAAGTGGCTTTCCTGACCCTTGCAGATCTTGGACGAGGTGGAGAAAAGACGCGGCATCTCTCCAGCCCTCGTGCAGCCCCTCATGAGGAGCGTCATGGAAGCCCCTTTCCCTGCCCTGGGCAAGACCATTGTGGTCAAGAACTTCCTGCCAGGGTCAGGCACCGAGGTGAGCATCAGAGTCCTGTCTGCTCCCAGGTGCCAGTAGTGCAGGCAGCAGAGTCACAGTGGGCAGAGAGACTGGCTCAGCAGGCCACCAGATGCCATGATCACAGCCTCAGGAGGCTGAGGCAGTAGGATCACAAGTTTGAGCTCAGCCTGAGCAACTTAGTGATTTAGCAAGATCCTGTCTCAAAAAGTAGCAAAACGGATGGGGGTGTCTCTCTGTGAAAGTCCCAGGTTCAATCCCTAGTAACACATATACACACACCTGCACACACACACACAATTTTTTTTTTTTGGTACCAGGGATTGAACTCAGGATCTTGTGCTTTCAAGGCAAGCAGTGGCACCACTGAGCTAAATTCCAGCCCAATACAAATTTATTTTAAAACACGCCACAGTCATTGATAAATCTTATTTCAACGTATTTACATTTTGGTCTGTACCTGCAAATCTTTATTGGGCAAAACAGATTCCTTGTGGGGAATACAAGCTCAGGTGCTATTTTTATTCATCTCAGACTTTGAAGCTTGTCCCCTCCTTATCTGGGCTGATGTGATAAAGTTTGCTTTTATTCTTCCCATCCATTGCTTGCAGCCCATCCAGCCTGTCTCCCATCCCAGCAGCTCTGATAACCCAGGCCACCGCTGGGGACACAGGAGGAGCGGGGCTGGGGCTAGAAGCTTTGGGACTCACCCAACTTCCAAGCACTAGATGCCCTGAAAAAATGCTTGCTAGGCCCCAGCATGGTGGTTCATACCTATCATCCCAGCACTTGGGAGACTAAGGCAGGAGGATCGCTGCGAGTTTGAAGCCAGCCTGAGCTACATAGGAGATACTGTCTAGAAATGAATGAATGAATGAATGCTAGGGTAGGGTAGGGCTCGGGGCAGAGTGCTTGCATAGCATGTGACAGGCCCTGGGTTCCATCCCCAGAATTGCAAAACAGGAAAGACAAAGAAAGGCAATGCCCACAGAAGGACTGGGGCCTGCTGGCCATGTTCTAGGAACCTGTGGCGAGTTTTCCGCAATCATAGGGCACCGTCAGCGGGGAGCTGCTATCTGGGGACGCTGCCAAGGACTGCACCCCTGGAAGCACTTCCCCAGCCCCGCACCCCTTCCCGCTCCCCTGGAACCCTTTTCCCTGTCCCTTTGTCTTCCTCTTTTCTCTCTCTCCTCTCCCCCGTGGAGGACGCAGAGCCCAGGAGCCCTGGGGAGAGGCCCGGCTGAAGCAGTACCTCCATAGCTGTCCTGCTCCCCGGCAGGTCATTGAGCTGTGCCGCCCACTGGACTCCCGGCTGGAGCACGTGGACTTCGAGCCGCTCTTCTCCTCTCTCAGCGTCCGCCACCTGGTGTGCGTCTTCGCCTCGCTGCTCCTGGAGCGGAGGGTCATCTTCGTGGCCGGCAAGCTCAGGTATCGCGCCTCGTCCACTCGGGCGTGGATGGCAGCAACGGGGGTCCTCGGTTAGGGTGCAGAGCCCCGTGGGGTGAGCAGCAGAGATGGGCACAGCCCCTGGGTAAACCAAGGTAGGCACGCTGTTATACGCAAGGGAGTGTCGAAAGACACGGGGGTCCTCCAGAGGCCCCCATCCAGGAAGGGAACAGGAGTAAGGGGTCCACAGTGCATCTTGTGTTGAAGGTCGTTAGTGAGTTCTGGCCAGGTGTGGTAGTGCACCCTATAATCCCAGCACCTGGGAGGCTGAGGCAGGCGAGTTTGAGGCCAAAGGCAGCCTGAACTATAATAGAGAAACCTTTTATCACAAAACAAATAAGGGCTGGGGATTTAGCTCAGTCGTTCCACCACCTCACAAGCACAAGGTCCAGAGTTTGACCCCCAGTACCAATCAATCAATCAATCAGTCTGGGGATTTAGCTCAGTGGCTCCGAGCCTGCCTTGAAAGTGCAAGGTCCTGAGTTCAATCACTGGTACTAAATAAATAAAGCAACCAACCAGATCTCACATGGACACACACTGTTCACAGCCCAGAAGTTTGCCTCTCACGTCCTAGGGGTTGCAGTCTACGCTTGCAAGAGGCCTCATCACAAATCAAAGATCCTGTAGGACCATCAGATGTAGTGAGCCCGGTGGGTGAATTCTGATCTGTTACCGAGGAAGACTCCTGCATCACATGGTCTCGGAGTTCTGACCCGGAGCACAGAGCGGGCGTGGTGGCTGCAGCCCAGGAGGACTGCCAGAAACAAACACACTGAGGAGCTGTGGTTTGAAGAGGAAATAGGACACTGAGCTAGACAACAAAAGACAGGAAGAAGGACAGGGAGAGAAGAATGACAAGGACAAAAGTATCCACTCAGACCCCACTAGGGGCAGGGAGGAAGTGGCCTCCGCCCACTCCTGGGCGGCCATCTGGTCATCTTTGTGATGCTTCTCTCTGGGCGCAGCCCTTGGGCCAGTCCTGCTGCCCCCACCCTGTACTAGAGGTCACTGTTCCCTTTTAAGTGTCACCAGCGCTGTGCTCCCGTGCAGTTTCTCAGCCAGCAGCTGCTACGGGCAGTTGGCAGCCCTCCAGCTCCCAGCCCTGGGAGTTCTGGTGGGGAATTCTCGGCCCTGGGGGCGGGGATGAGGAGTAACCCTTCAGTGACTGGACTGGGTCACACAAGTGCTGCGGTGACCGTCCTGCTTCTCCTGAAGGCCCTCTGTGTCCCCAGGGTGGGCTTGCCACAGAAAAATGCCCCTCTCTGTAGGACAATTTGAGAAGGTCTGGGGGGTTCAAGGATCCCAGCTGTGGGAAAAGATGAGGCTGCCTCTGCCTTGGTCTGGCCAGACTTGGGGATGGCAGGACTAAGACTGGGTCAGTCCCTTCCTGAGAGACACAGGATAAAGGGGTTTCTGGGCCTCAGTGGTTCTCCAACCCCTCCTGCCCTGTCTGCAGCGGTTTACGGAGGTGACAGGGTGTCCCAGGGACTAACAGGAGCACTTGGGAGATGTCTCCTCACCCACCTTGTGTGTGTTGGTGTCTTGCCCTGGAGACTCAGCCTCTTCCAACGGTGCATGCCCAGGAGAGGAGCAAGTGGCCGGCAGGGCGCAGGCAGTTGTCACTATGGTGTGTGGCAGATGTGGACAGCACTGCAGAGATGGCCTTCCTGGGGAAGAGGAGTAGGTAGCAGGAACAGGAATCGTTGGAGCACCTCTCTGGGGCCAAGGCTTAGCCATAGTGCAGGGGTGATTGTGAGTTTGTGCGTGCGTGCTTGCGTGTGTGTGCGTGTGTGTGTGTGTGTGTGTGTGTGTGTGTGTGTGTGTATGAAGTGCTTTAATTGCATTTTGAAGCCCTTTCCCACTTCCATGCCTACCCATCCATCCTCATGAGCCTGGGAGGTGCCCCTGCCCAGACACGATCTCAGGTCTGACCTGCGTCCCCAGCCCTGTCATGTGTGTGCTGTTGTCAGAACCCAGACCACACAGAGGTTTAGGCGCTTTGCTCCAGGAAGAGACTGCCTGACTCTGTGCAGAGGACAGTGGGGAACTGGCTAGGCCACAGTGGTCTGGGGTAGGAGACCGGCAGGCTGTAAGACCCCATCTCTCTACATAGATATACAAGGAAATATACAGTGAGTGACTAAATCAAACATTTTAGTACAGTCAAAGACACATCACTGTTAACCCCTCTCACTTTGAATGCACTGATCCATCGTTCTGGCCACCTTCTGCAGCAGTTCTGGAGGTACTCTTTCCTGAGTGTCGTTATGAGGTGCCTGCTGCTTCTGAACACCATCCAAAGGAAAGATGGCCTCATAAAAACATGGCACTGTGTCCTAATTCACCTTATTCACTGGATCTACCACCGTGGGATTTCTCACTCTTCTCCATTGTCAAAAGGACCGTGAAAGGGAAACATTTTGAAGCAGTTCAGGACATCAAAGCAGCCACGGCAGTGCAACTAAAGACACTCATGAAAGAGGACTTGCAGAACTGCTTCAGAAAGCGACAAGAGCAATGGGGTAAGTGTTTGAAGCAAGAGGAAGGATTTTGAGCAAAGTGTTTTTTACTATAATAAATTCTTTCAAATGTAGACAACTGGTGTGTTTTTCATCTCTTCTCACAGAGGAGAAGGCTTGGAGAGCAGGTTGCCAGGACCCCTGTGAGCTCAGCTGTCAGGTACAGCGGTCACTGTTGCCCTTCCAGCTAAGGCTCCAGTGAAGCAGGTGCCACTGGCAACCCCAAAGTCTCTCTCAGCTCTGAAGTTTTCAGACTCCTCCGGACAGGAGGAATCTGTGCCCACTGTGCCGTGTTTGATTTACGGCTGAGTACCCACAGGAGGTCAAGGGTTCTTTGATCAGACCTAAACAAGCAAGGGCTTGAAGAACAGTGGCTGGCTGCAAGTTTCTGATGTGGAAAATCCTGTGAGGAAAACATTCAGCCTAAGTCACAGCTGCTGGCCGCATCCCCCACACTGGACTGCTCATGTGTCCATTCCAGCCCCGCTCAGCTGCGAGAGTGGAAGCCTCCTCGGCTCCTGCTTCCCTCGTGAGGCCAGAGCAGAGCATGAGAACAGGACGTGTCACCGGCCCTGTGAGTGGCCCCGTGACACCCCTGAGTGGGCCTTCCCCTGCACCCAGCGCTCTCCCCCACGAACCCAATCCCGGTGTTTAGTCACCATCGCTAGGGAGTCTGCCCACAGTGAAAGGAAACTGAAGGGAGTTGTGGCAAATACTGTACGAGTTAGGAAAGGGTTTAAAGTTGAGCCAAAAATCTATCAAATTCAAAATAACATTTTCGCTCCGTTTCATCGTTAGGGTGGACACTGAGTGTTTCTAAAGGCTGTGTCAAGCCCCAGGCCTGACAGATGGAAAGGGAGGAATGTTGTTGTGATGGCTTGTTCTGTCATCCTAGCAACTCAGATAAATATTTCCCACTACCCCCTGCCTTCGTTTTCCTGATGATAAACATTTTGTTTTTTAGTTTACTCATTTCAGTCCCAAAAATTTTGGCTAAGCCTATAGACCGGGCCTAATAATAAAGTCAGAGCTGCACATACACACATTTATGTAAAAGTTTTAGATGGCACCGAGGTTTGAATACTTGAGAAAGTCCATTTCTGTCTTCCTATAGGGTAATAAACCACATGCTGAAAGACAGGACTAGCTAAGGATAAATAGGGTTAGGTGATCAAATCTTGACAAATAGTGCGCTGGAGTTTGAACCATAGCTTTGACATTGGGGTAACCACACAAATAAGTGTGTGTGTGGCTGCGATTCTTTTTCATTCTTTTCTTTTTTGTTTTTTTGAGACAGGGTCTCACTACGTAGTTCAGGCTGGCAACCCTCTTGCCGTAGCCTCCAGAGTGCTCGGATGACAGGTGTGTGCCACCACACCCTGCCATGTTCCTTTCAGTTCATTTTCAGCATACACAGACTTCCATGGCATTCTGTATGCTTTCTAGGGTCAGCGCTGCATGAGTGTGCCCTCCTGTGGCTGAGTTTGGCCCAGGCCTCCCAGCAGGTAACAGCAGCTGCCACCATTGTTCTGGCAGCCAAACGACTCCCTCGTTGGCTTAGGTGGTCCTCAGCATGGCTGACAAAGTGTTAGAGACAGATACATTTAATTCTGCAAAGTCCTCTGGAAAAACCATGGACTAGCACAACAGTACATTCTGACTAAATAGTAGCCACCTGTTTTTGGTGTGTGGACACCACGACATTAGCATCTGGAGCAAGATTTAGAGGACAGCACAGCCACAAGCGCCATCGTCTTCTACTCAAGCACGCTGCTGTGAGGCCAGGGCTGCAAGCTGGCTCCATCCTTTGGGAGCCCCAGGCCACGGCAGCGCTGTCTCGTCTTCCTTCTGCATGCAGTAGCTCCAGCCCCTCTGACCCAGTACCTCTCAGATTCTCAGCACTGAGCCTGCATCACTCCTGTCTGGAGCCCCCTGAGCAGCCCTAGCCCGACCTTCCTGTGCCAGGCCTGGTTCTTTCTGTAGCAGAAAGAAAGATCCCACTTCTTGCCTGGCTCGTGCTCTTGCAGATTCAGGATTGGTAGATGGTAAAGCTGAAGGATACTGGAGATTATCTCAGCTGCAGAAGAATCTGAGGCCTAGAGAGATGAAAGGCTTTTCCTGAGATCGCACAGATCTCAGGTTCCCAAGGCTCAGTCTGTGTCCTTTTTAAACTTGGTATAGCCACTTGCCAGGCATGATGGTGCACACTTGTAGTCCCAGCCTAGGTGATTTAGCAGGAAAGATCCTGTCTCAACAAATACAGAAAATGGCTGGGGATATAGCTCAGTGCAAAGGCCCTGGGTTCAATCTCCACTACCAAAATAAAAAACAGTAACACCTTATTTCTCGGTTTGAAAATCTGCAAGGTGACAGCCACTTCCCTGAAGTTTTACCAGTCCCAGACCTGAGCTTCCTTTTCCCTCCTGTTCCTGCTGGGAAGCTGGGGGTGCCAATCTAGTTACCCTTACCATTCCGGGCGTGGGGGTCTAAGTTGGGAAGCGCATTGACTGTCCTGGTTGTGTCTTAGAGGAACCTCTGCGCATGCTTGCTGGCCACAGGATGGCCTCAAGGTGAGGGAGGGGGCAGGACCCACTCTAGGAGAACCACAGCCCTTGCAGTGCATCCTAATTTTCCCAAAGTGAGCAAGTGTTCTGGGACCAGACCCTCCCTGCTGATGTACAATGGGGCACAGTGTGATGCTGGTTTCTTTCTGCCACCCCTGGTGCTTGCAAGCCCGCTGCAAGGGCTCTTCCTGAAGCATCATGCTCGACTCCCCCAACAGTTCCATGCTTCACAAGTTGGGGAAGGAGCCGGGTGTAGTGGTACACATTTGTGATCCCAGTACTCGTGAGACCTTGTCTCAAAAAAACAAACAAAAAAGTTAGAGAATAGAATTTCATTTTGTGGCAGTGATTGAGAGAAACATGCTGCACTCAGAAAAATCCTTTCTTTCCTCCTCTACCACTTATTTCAGGGCAGGAGTTCTTTCATATCTGCGGAATTTGCTCTTTGCTTTTCCTGTTACATAGGCTTTTGAGAACAGTGTGGTGGGCTAGAACATAGGAAGAGTGAGCCACTGCTCCAACAGCCCCTGTTCTGCTCCCTGCCACATTCAGCCTCGAGGTGTTGATGAAAACCAGGTGTGGAAACATCTGGCTCCAGCTACAGGGCGATCTGACTCTTAAACAAAGAAAGCCAAAAGTTCTTATAGGAAACAGTCAACAGTAGAGCACTGTCTCCACCGGCCAGCGGGTCACCTCCCCTCGTCCTCTCCTTCAGGGGCTCGCACCCAACTTCCTCCACCAGGCTCCGCTTCCTAAGGAGGCCGCCATCGCCCAGAGACCTTCACACAGGGGCCTTTGAGGACATTCATAGTCCAGATTATTGCAGCATAACACCAAAAGGTTCCTAATCAAAGCCAAGTGTGGTGGCGCACACCTGTTATCCCAGCACTCAGGAGGCTGAGACAGAAGGGTCACTTTGAGTTCAAGGCCAGCCTGAACTACACAGCAAGACCTAGCTCAAAACAGCAACAAGAAAAAAAGAGTTCTCCCTGGTCACTGACCCTGTTAGCATTTGGCCAGAGTTCTGGGCAAGGGGTAACAGTATCTGAACTTTGCTTTCGCCCAGTGGACCAATGTGCAGCTGATTGCTGGCCCGTGACTACCAAGGCCTTGTTCTCATTTTTCCTGATCGCACCAAGGTATTCGTGCCTGGTGGAGATAATGTGGGGAGCGGAGCAAAGGAAAGGTTTCAGGGTTGGAATACGAAGTACCCGGAAGCCAAGTGTGTTGGCTTACTCCTGCCATCCCACCACACGGGAGGCTGAGGCAGGAAGATCATCCACAAGTTGGAGGCCAGCCTGAGTTACGTAATGAATTCAAGGCCAGCCTGAACTACGTGATAAGACCCTGTCTCAAACAAACAAAAGTACCTGCAGTAAGGAAATGAGTGCCTATGAGGAAACAAGTTTTAACTGTCATCCCAGTTGCTTTTCTGTTGCTGTGACAAAGCACCCAGGCCAAGTACTTTATTTTTTTATTTTTTATTTTTATTTTTGGTACCGGGGATCAAACTTGAGTTATTGTGCTTGCGAGGCAGGCGGTGGAACCACTAAACTAAATCCCCGGCCCAAGGCCAGTACTTTATAAAGTAAAGAGGTACAGTCTCCTCCTGACTCCTGGTGCCAGCTCCTCGGCGAGGCCATCCCTGGTCGCTCCAGCCTGTGTCAGTGGCGGTGACTGGAAAGGGAGGGAGCACAAGGAGCAGAGAGGACTGGGCTCACTCATATAACACCCCTTCTCGTGGGAGCAGGCCTGCCCTGCCCAGGACAGCAGGACCCATCATGGCCAGGAGCCCCAGGGCCTGACGATCTCCCGCTTCACCGACTCCCTGGGGACCTAGCATCTGGTACCCTACCCACAGGGCTTGTGGTGGGCTTTGTTTGTGTGGGGAAATGGTCTGACCCAAACTTACAGGGAGCCAGATGTGGGAGGACGGAAAGTTCAAGCCCAGCCTGAGAAACTTAGTGACATAGGGAGACTCTGACTCAAAATACAAAATAGAAAGGGCTGAGGACGGAGCTCAGTGCAAAGGCCCTGGGTTCAATCCCCAGTGCTGCCAAAAACTAGGCAAGCTTAGCGGGAGTGGCTCGCCGCAGAGCCCACGAGTGAGTTCCTGGGTGGGGAGTGAGCCCCACTGCTGTCCTCCAAGCCTCCTGTCCGCCCCACCTGGGCCGAGCCCCTCCTTGTGCCCAGCCTTTGGCCTCGGCTCCTTGCTGACAGCCTCTTGCCCGTCTCTCGGCACAGCACCCTGTCCAAGTGCTGCCACGCGATGGTGGCTCTCATCTACCCCTTCAGCTGGCAGCACACCTACATCCCTGTGCTGCCACCTGCCATGATTGACATCGTGTGCTCGCCCACGCCCTTCCTCATCGGGCTGCTGGCCAGCTCACTGCCGCTGCTTCGGGAGCTGCCACTGGAGGAGGTGAGGCGCCCCTGTGCTGTCGCCCCGGGGCAGTGGGTGGGGGGCTCAGTCTGTGCAGTCCCACCTGGAGCTGGGCTCAGCAAGCCCTTTGATGAGCCCAGGCGCTGCTGTCCCCTCTAAACGAGGGGGTCTGTGGACGACCTAGCCTTGATGGCAGAATGGCCATCTGTCCCCCTAACCCCTACCCCTTCCCCTGGCACTGAGCACGCAGAGCTCACATAGCTGAGATGTGTTTAAACCAGGGACAAAGTGGATGAGGGAAGCACCTCCAGTGTCCTATCAGTTAAGAGGCAACCTCGGAAGCCAGGTGTGGTGGCGCACTCCGGTTGTCCCAGCACTTACCCGGGGCAGTGTGGGGGGCTCAGTCTGTGCAGTCCCACCTGGAGCTGGGCTCAGCAAGCCCTTTGATGAGCCCAGGCGCTGCTGTCCCCTCTAAACGAGGGGGTCTGTGGACGACCTAGCCTTGATGGCAGAATGGCCATCTGTCCCCCTAACCCCTACCCCTTCCCCTGGCACTGAGCACGCAGAGCTCACATAGCTGAGATGTGTTTAAACCAGGGACAAAGTGGATGAGGGAAGCACCTCCAGTGTCCTATCAGTTAAGAGGCAACCTCGGAAGCCAGGTGTGGTGGCGCACTCCGGTTGTCCCAGCACTTGGGAGGCTGAGGCAAAGAATGGCCATCTGTCCCCCTAACCCCTACCCCTTCCCCTGGCACTGAGCACGCAGAGCTCACATAGCTGAGATGTGTTTAAACCAGGGACAAAGTGGATGAGGGAAGCACCTCCAGTGTCCTATCAGTTAAGAGGCAACCTCGGAAGCCAGGTGTGGTGGCGCACTCCGGTTGTCCCAGCACTTGGGAGGCTGAGGCAAGAGAATCAGAAATTCAAGCTCAGCATGGGGAAATTGGTAATTTAGCAAAACTCTGTCTCGAAATACAAAAAGAGGACGGAGTGTAGTTCAGGTCAGAGACCCTGAGTACAAACCCCAATACCACAAAACAAAACAAAGGAGCAAGGCAGAGAGTACAGCCGGAATGCCTGAGTGAGTCCCGCCATACCAAGGGGCAGGAAGCCCCTCCTGCCTCTCCATGCGAAGAAACCACGGGGCCCCTGGCCAGCCACCTCTGGGCGCCAAGAGGAGGGAGGGCTCAGTCTGCATGTGTCCCAGAGGCCTGATGACTTAACCCCTTCTTCTGTCTTCAGGTCCTGGTGGTTGACCTCATCAACAACCGCTTCCTCCGGCAGGTGAGGGGACTGCCCAGCCCTGCACCCTTCACTTCCACCTCTCAGTCCTTGGGGCTCAGCTCCCCACCTCTGGAAAGGCCCCGGGGAGGGAGGATGAGACAGGTACGGGCAAAGAGGAGGACACTGGCCAAGGATTGATCTGCTTGTGTACTGACAAGACAGGGTTTTCTGACAGTTACAATCAAGCACAAAATTACATGCATGGGGGAAATTGCTTTTGTGATGCTAGAGGGTGAAGCTAAGGCCTTGCACTTCTAGGAAAACACTATCACTGAGGTACCTCCAGCTGCTGATACCGTATTTTTAAAAAGAAAGAGAAACCAGGTATGGTGGCTCATGCCTATAATCGTGACACTCAGGAGGCTGAGGCAGGAGGATCGCTACAAGTCAAGGCCAGCCTGGGCCACATAGTGAGTTCAAGGCCAGCCTGAACTACATAGCAGACCCTGTCTCAAAAAAAAAAAAAAAAAAAAAGTTGAAAGGAAAGCCCAACAAAACGTGCTGATGTCTTGGGGAAACAGACAAGTAGACAGATTTTTTTAGTGGTTTTAAAGTGTTCTAATTGTATCATGTATTATTTGTCTGAAATGATCACAAATTAATTTCATTATGAAAGAAACACACATGTATTTTTTATCATTTGAGAGCTCTGGCTCTGGCTGCTCTCAGATCTTGCAAAGACTAACTACACTGGAGGTTGAGCAGGAGGATAACAAGTTCAAACCCAGCCTGGGCAATTTAGTGACTCAGCAAGACCCTGTCTTCGAATTTAAAAGAAGGGCTGGGACAGAGAAGGCACAGTCCAAAGGTCGAATCCCTAGAACCACAGAAAAAGGAAAAGGGAAAAGGAACTGATCGTAGAAAGGCCCTCTGGTCTTCTGACCACAGTGCTCCGGGTTGCTGGTTGCCACAGGTTGCAGAGCTTCTTTATCATTAGTTCTTTCTCTTCTCCCAGAAGCCGTCGCTCTGAGGCCAGGGCCTGCGCAGCCTGATCACACAGCTGTAGCTGGGGGATAGGGCACACATAGCCACCTAGTGCCAAGGACTTGTCCAGGGGACCGTAAGGCATTGCTTCTCCACAGTGGGGGGCTCTTGTCCACGGGCAGACTTCAGTGCACAAGGAGAGAGCCAGAGAGCTGGGTGTGGTGGTGCACGTCCTTAAACCCATCACTTGGGAGGCTCAGTCAGAAGAATTGCCTGGAGTTTGAGGCCAGCCTGAGCTACATAGCGAGACCCTGTCCCAAAATGATAAAATAGGCCTGGTGTGCTGGTGCACTCCTGTAATCCCAGCACGCAGAAGGCTGAGGCAGGAGGATCGTTGTGAGTTCGAGACCAGCCTGGGCTACATAGTGAGTTCCAGGTCAGTCTCAACTACATAGTGAGACCCTGTCTCAAAAA